AAGAAACAAATAAACCAACATTACATACCCAGTTACTCACTTCTATCCATAATAATAAAAGCATAATATTCTAATTAGACCGGACAGCCGAACGACCTTCTGGTTGTCCTTCTGGACGAGCTTCTGGATGAAGCTGGGGCTGTGAGGGCCGAGCTCCTTGCATGAATTTCGTGCATCGGGCCTCTACTTTAACTATAAAGAATCACTAAGTGCTAGGCACTACACTAGGTGCTAGAGACACAAAGGTGTGTTGTCTCTGCCCTCAGCAAACTCAAAACACAGAGAGATGCACATGTAAAAAGTGCCATAAAGAACCAGGAACATACCCAAAACACCGGGATCCAATATGCAGGTGACTGGCTTTGAAGAACAAATGAGTTGGGAAGGCTTCTGAGAAAAGGTAAGGGATTTTGGAGTTAGGCCTTCAGAGAAAAATAGTATTTGACATTGCAACAATGACAACAATGTAGAGATGATGGCGGTTGGAGAGGAGAAACATATTGTGGTAAATGGCATAGGTTCACTTCCCCCTCCCCCCCACACACACACAGGGCACAAAGGCACCTGACTAGTTCTGGGACCAAAAGCATTATATGGAGCCAAAGTATTATGATCGCATGAGTCCAATCAGCTTATGTAGACTTTTTATCATATATTCTTTTGACATGCTGCATGTTTACCTTATTGTATTAAATAATAGACTAATTCATTGAATATTGGATTAAATAGATTACTGTCCATTTACACTTGAGTTCTTGTTTATGCCATTGTGTCAGTTCTACTTCTGATTAGAATCCCATCCTATTTTAAAGTGTCTTGAGAGCATTTCTTAGAACATTAGCACCATTCTCCCTTTTCAAATTTAGCACTTTCCAGTAGTTCAACATGTTCCCTTTTTATTTGTGGCCATTACTTCTCCCTTGGTCTCCTTTAAAAATAGCCCAGCCTGCACTTGTGTGTCGCTCTCAGCTGGTGCTGGCGCCTCAGTCCGTCCTGGGTGTCGGTCCTTACCCCTTCTTTGGCCTTGTCCATTGGGTCTGGGTTGGTCACTGTTTGGGGGAGTGTATTTCCCTCTGTTTTGCTCTATCACTTTGTGTCATGACTTATTTTTGGTGGTTTTAACTAGAAGGTAGCCCCTACCGCTTTTTGCCTTAGGATTTTAAAGGCCTCTAAGATGGGATCATGAGTCCTGTTTGTGAGCCCTAGTCTTGGGTTGCCAGTTTATTAGTAGTAAATGTTTGCAGGGAGGCGAAGAATACTACACATAATATGACTTGACTCATTGAAAGGTGAAGAGAATAAGCAGAGTACATTTTTATTTTAAATTTTAAAGAAACTATATCATATACGCTGCAGCTATATTTCACTGCCTCCTCCCCCCGATTTTTCTGGATCTCCATGCAAGAAACCTAAGAGTGGGTTCCTTGTGATAGAAGTCGGAGGGCTAGAAAGGAACTGTATTTTTCATTTTATATCCTTTCTGTGCAGTGTCAATTTACCATGTACATATTTTTAAACATGTAAGTAAAGGCATTTAACAATGATCTATTTTTTGTCTTTGGTTATGTCCATAATAAAGTAGTTGCCACGTTTTTACAGTGTGAGCGATGCTAAAATTAAAAACAGCAGGTGACTGTTGTGACAAAATGAGAGCGAGGAAATGGAAAATGCCTCACACAGAGAAAGGCCCGCAGGCTCGTCTACTCCGTACAAATATAAAGACAAATCTGTCCCAAACCGTCCCTCTGCAAAATCTGGAAAACTCAAACAAAACAAAATGCAACAAAACAAATAAAAACTTGAGAGAAAGGCAAGGCTCTAGTTAGGAGTTAAAACTCCTGTCTGTTAAGCTCACAAGCATACCTGCTCAAGACTTTTTGGGCCAACACAGTGGAGAGCAGAGTGTAGGTCTTGAAACTTTCACAGGATGAAGTCCAGTAGAGTTTTCTGTGTATAAAATTTAAGAACAGCCCGGCCAGTGTGTCTCAGTGGTTGAGCAATGACCTATGAACCAGGAGATCACGGTTCGATTCCCAGTCAGGGCACATGCAAGAATCAACTAGTGAGTGCACAAATATGTGGAACAACAAATCAACTTCTCCCTCTCTCTCAAATCCTATATAATAAAAGCCTAGCCCTAGCCGGTTTGGCTCAGTGGATAGAGCGTTGGCCTGTGAACTGAAGGGTCCCAGGTTCGATTCTAGTCAAGGGCACATGCCCAGGTTGTGGGCTCAATTCCCAGTGGGGGACTTGCAGGAGGCAGCTGATCAGTGATTCTCTCTCATCATGAATGTTTCTGTCTCTCTCTCCCTCTTCCTTCCTCTCTGAAATCAATTAAAAAAAAAATATTTAAAAAAAAGCCTACTATGCAAATAGACCAAACAGCGGAACAACTGTTGGAACGACTGGTTGTTATGACACATACTGACCACCAGGGGGCAGATGGTCAATTCACGACCTGTCCCCAGCCCGCACCCCCCAGGCTGGCCAAGGTGGGTGCCAGCGGGGGCGGGGGGGCCTGAGTACCCTGCCGGTCACCCTGCAGATGGGCCCTGATCGCGGCCAGGCCTACGGACCCTACCCGTGCACAAAATTTCGTGCACCGGGTCTCTAGTCAATAAATAAAAAATTAAAAAATAAAATAAAATGTAAGAACAATTCAAACTGGAGAACAGTTCTGACCTGCTCACTGGCCTGAAACCTGAAGGTGCTGAGAATAGGGTTTTGTGGTCCTGTCAGCAGAAATTCATTTGAGCACACTCATATTCTCAATCTCTCTCTCTCTCTCTCTCTCTCTCTCTCTCTCTCTCTCATGCATTCACACACTTAGTATCACAGATGGCCACTCTTCACTCCATCAAAGCAAATCATATAACCCACCTAAGGGTGCACCAACACTGGGCAACACTTCATATAAACGAAAGACGAACCCAGCAGTGGGAAAGAGAACAAAACAGAGTGAAGATAAAAAGAGCTACTGTTTCATGTTCATATGTTGGGAACTGAAGAGAAAGAAACACAGTAACATGATTTTAGAATTCCTCACATTCCTGATTTCATTTAATTCACTGCATTTCAAATATAAAACAACTGTCTGTGGGTATATGTTTAATTGTATATGTGTGTACATATATTTTAATAAGCTGTATGGAAATACTTATAAATTGCTGGACCATTCCAATGGCACCTCTCCCCACTTCAACTGCCCACCCACCCCATCCTGCCCATTCTCCATCTCCCATCCACTGTGTTCTCTTTT